ATTAATTATTTAATATATTTACTAGTATGAATAATTCATTAATTAACATTTCTGAGTTGTACCTACCTCAAATGAAATTGTATTCATAATACAAATAGTTATGTTGAAAAAGACTTGATTGCCTCAAGTTTAACCTTAATTTTTTGTTTTTCTACATTTTTTTAAATATAAAAAGCGTAGATTTTCGTACTACTAGTATCTACTATTAGGAACAATAAAACCAATAATATAATGACCTTATATGTAATACACATTGGTAAATAAATAAACGGCATATTTCAATAAATTATGATATTTATTACATTAAACAGTTCTTTAAAAAATAATTCAAAAAGTTTGAAATAGCGATTAAATACATGTTTACAAGAAGATACAAGAATTAAGTGTGAAGAAATATTAAACAATTATGAATAATGTACTTAGTATATTTTCGTAAGATCGACGTTGGATAGCGGCAGAATAACTCATGGTAGTTTTCTAAAAAATAAACATTCAAGATTTACATTTTAAAATTATATGGATAATAATTAAAAAGATAATATTATGTTTAATTGACAAGAATGTMAATGTATATTAAATATTAGGAAAAGATGAATAAGTGGCAATAAAAATAGAAAAAATTATTTATAAACTATTTTTTAAAAATTAATAAYTTTTCGAAAATACTGTTATTATTGCACAGTGATTGCAATGATCCACATCCACTCATATAATAATACAGTGAACAGCTAATAGCATTAAGGATACGATTTAGAAGTTTATATTAAATAATTTTGAATGATAAAATAAAATGATCAATTATCATATATAACTATATATATAGACATAATTAAAATAATTCTATGTTTTTAATTATTATACTTATTTAAATGCATACTCACTGATTTGGTAGAATATTTATTCACCGACGAAGGAGAGTGATGTAAGGATTGTAAGATACTGGGTAAGTGTAGGCGTACGATGGGTAGGTGTACACCGGTGCGTAGGTATGTGGGTAGTAAATGATATTTTGAGAAGAAGCAACAGCGATCAAAGCCAAAGCGGCAACAACCAATAACTATATAGACCATTTTTAATTAATAACAATTCAGAGAATGTAGAACATTTTTTTTTACAACAATCCTTTATTTTACTTCTATTGTTACGAAAAATTAAATATTTGACAAAAGGAGTTTTACACACCTAAAGATTGTTTTATAACTTATAACTACATGCGAATAATAATTATTAAAAAATTGTGCAGTTTTGAGGAAAAAAAKAACAAATAAAAATTATTAATTGTATAATAATATACGCAAACAAAAATAAACTTATTTATTTGTCGTATTGGACGTAATTTGAAAAAGGAAATTTAAAAACTCGAAACATTTATAAGTACGTACTGGCTACAATTACTTATACAAAATATTGTACTGTTGCCTATATTATTATTTATTCTACTAAAAAAGATACTCACCAAAAGCTTGTACATGATGATGTTTGGATGTGAATTTGAGGTAACTCGATTAGTAAAATAAAGACTCGATGTGTATCGATGTAATAACTGTAGATTACTGATGTTGTGTCTAAAGATTTTAGYAGTATTTATACCAATTCAGTGTTTGAAAATTTGTATGATATCCCATTTATACTYTATACGAGTAGGTAAATAATGTGTTATAATATTGTTTATATTTTATTTTTTTGGTTAAAAAAAACCGGTTCAACATACAAGGATTCGAGTTTGAATGAATCAAACTATAAAATGTGACATTGAAGAAACCAGCCTAGGTATTTGTTAATTCAAATGTATTATTATTACTAACCTGACATTTTATTTAAAGTAATATATTGTAGGGCTGTGACCAACGGTGAC